AAAGACATATTTAAGTCAAAAGCATCAAATAATAACTTTGTTATCTCAGTAAATTCATTTAATACCCCTTAACGAATAAAAATAATCCTATAGCTAAATGTTTTCAAAATGATTAAAAGAGGCTAAGAAAAGACTTGTAATAAAGTGAAAAAATACAACACTTTTAAGTCAAGCAAATTTTGATTCCTTTCAACCAAATGTGTAGGAGTGTGTAAACTTCGGTAGAAAATCGATTAACCAACTGAACTGAAAAACTTTAATTAACCATTTTTATACCAATATAATTCAGTTTGAGTAATGGTTAGGAATTTTACATAATTCCGATTATCAGTTAATTCGGGTTGAAATTATCAGTTAACCGAAGTTTTATATATATATATATATATATATATATATATATATATATATATTATATAATTTATTCCTAAATATTAAACAATAATAATTTTTATAGATATTGATGTAATAGATAATGTTAATTTTTATTTATAATTTTAAGGATTTTAAAATTTAATTAAAAATTTCAGTTTATACATTAACCATTTGATTAATAGAAAAAAAATCAATTTGGTTAATTTGGTTCGATTAACAGTTAAAAGTTTAGGTTTTCAAAAAAAAAAAAAGGGTTAAAGATTTAAAAATTTTTGTTAATTTTGTTCAGTCAACCGATCAATTAATTGAATGCACAACCCTACATGTACAATAAAGCTTAATTAGGGACGGCAAATTGTGGACACGAGTCCAACACGACGTCGTTTTTAAAAAAATGCATCATTTCAGTTTAAAAAAAAAAAATTTAATTTTGTCTCGCCGTTAACGGCGTTATTCGTTTGTGCCATTATATGAATGTATAGTTATGGGATTATGAATGTACAGTTATGGCATTATGAATGTACAGTTATGACATTATGAATGTAAGTTATAAAATTATAAATACAGAATTCTGACATTATTAACTTACAATTATGAACATATAGTGATAAAATTATGAATATAGAGCTCTAAAATTGAGAACATGGAGCTTCGAAAATTATGATTTTACAGTTATTGAACTATGAATGTAAAGTTACGGAATTATGAATGTACAGTTATGCAATTATGAATATACAGTTATGGAGTTATGAACACAGAGCTCTGACATTTTGAACTTGCAATATGAACATATAGTGATAAAATTATGAACATAGAGCTCTAAAATTGTGAACATAGAGCTTCGAAAATTATGAAGTTACAGTTATTGAATTATGAATGTACAGTTATTGAATTATGAACATAGAGCTCTGACATTATGAATTTACAATTATGAACATATAGTAATAAAATTATGAATATATACTCCTATAATGAATCTGAAATTAAAAAAAATAATAATAACAGTGCCGTTAGGCACTGTTACCCGTGTTCAGCATGCATGCTGGACACGGGTCCAGAGCATAACGATTGATTAGGGACTGAGTTGGCTACTTTTCAAATTCTATAAGGTGATCCGATCCATTATTCCATTTGTGTCACTCGGCCCATAGAACTTTCATACTGTGTTGTGTTGGCTTTAAGAGAACTTATTAGTCCATTAGAAAATTGGTGAAGGATATTGAACATAAAAGAGGCCCACAAATTCAGTATAATACCATTGGAGTTAATATCCAAAATGGTCCTCGACTATAGTGATTTTTCTCAATTTCGTCCTAAACGACTTTAGTGACCTAATATCGTCCCAGATTTTTGTGTTTCGCTCAATTTAGTCCCAAACTTTTGTGTTTTTGCTCAATTTAGTCCCTCATTTGTTATTCTGTCTATTTGGTGTTAAATAAATAGACAATTCAGTAATTTTAATATTGGCATCTCTTTACTCATAGACATGTGAACTGCGAAATCCTTTTTTTTTTTTTTTTTTTTACGAATTACTCCCGGAATTACTCCTAAAACTGCAAATATAAAATTTGATTTGCAGGTCCGGGAGTAATTCTGGGTGTAATTCGTACAAGAAAGAGGAATTTCGCACTTTACAAGTTGAAAGTAAAGAGAGATCAATATTGACATTACTGAATTGTCCATTTATTTAACACCAATTTGACGGAATAACAAATGGAGGACTAAATTGAGCGAAACAAAAAAGTCTGGGACGATATTAGGTCACCAAAGTCGTTTAGGACGAACACTACTGGAAATTCTGAAATTTTCGACCACCTGAAAGTGATCTTAAATCAAGTTGAAAGTCTTGTTCCGACCACTTTTGGTATCCGGAAAAACCTTTGTTGCTATTTCCGACCACTTTTTGGACTTTTTGGTATCAACTTAATTTAAGATCATTTTTAGGTGGTCGGAAATTTCAGAATTTCCAGTAGTGGAAATTGAAAAAAACCGCTATATTCGAGGACGATTTTGGGTATTAACTCAATACCATTGTGTCTGACTGCAAAGTGCAAATAACCAAATTCGATCATATAGAGATTATACTATATAGTATATGATATAGAGTCTGAATATGTAATATTTCTCAGGAGGAAACAAAAGTAATTGTCTGCATTTTTCAACGTTGTTGGCGACAGCATGATTGAAAATTGTTTTGATATCTTAATGTCAAAACTTTCCCTATTCATTCTTAGTTGATTATGACAATTCACTTGTTGCCTTTCTTGGCGGAATCTTTTGTAATAAAACAAAATGTTATTTATACTATAATTTTCATAAACTCGTAAGGGCATCTCCAATGCACCATTTTGAGGAAAAAAAGAAGGGGAGAAAAGGGTGGAGAAGGAAAAAAGGGAAAGAACGCTTTTTTTCAAAAAGTAAAAATAGCGCCAAGTGCGTTGCGCGTTGCCAATAAGTGTCAATCATATGATGCGTGGTGGTCACGCGCTGAGGGCGGGGGACAGTTGTCCCCCAACCCTTTGTGTTATATATATATACTAGTCTTTTCTATGCGCGATGCGCAAAAACATATATCCAATATTTATATTTTTAAAAATAACTAACAAATTTTTACTAATTAAAATTAAAGTGAAATAAAATTTATTTATTATATTAATATAATATATAATGAATATATAATGTTTTACAAATATTGTTATAATTAAAGAATATAAGAAAAGATAAGGTAGATTCATGTGCATGGTAAGTAACGGAAAAGATAACGGAAGTTATAACGGTAAGGGTATTTTTGTCCAAAAAATTGTATAGTACAACTCTAAAAGCACAATGTACAAAATGATCAGCATTAAAAATATGGACATAAATGAGGGATATAACTTTGATTGAGACTTATTATGTTTTTAGATATATATATATATATATATATATATATATATATATAGTATTTAAAATTTGTTTCCAAATTTTTATTTCATTATTTAAATTTAAATTTATTTTTATTTAAAATCAAAATTTGAAATTATTAATTATATAGAAGTGAATAAAATAATAGATGTTGTGTAGATCGAAGATACACCCAAAAAAAAAAAAAAGAATGATTGGAGAGAAAATAAGAAAAGAGATTATAGGGTGATGTAAATGAGATGTGCCCACAAATTGAGGAAATAAGGGGAGAAGGGTTGTGGTTGCCCTAAATAAGGGGAGAAGGGTTATGGATGCCCTAAGTATATTATTACTCAAGTCTTGTCGTTGCAAGAAAGTCTTAAGAGCATCTCAATCAAGGTTTTTGGGAAAAGAAAAACAAAAAATTTGCAGTAATACAAGTTCTTTGTGGCCTAAAAAATTACTTATTCTGGTGCACAAAAATTACTTATTCTGGTGCACAGTTTCAGGGGTGCGTGCACTACTTGTGCAGTTGTGCCCTCTGGGCGAATTAACTCCCATTGTTTTTTTTTTCCGCCTCTTTTTCTATCCCCTCCCCCGGCCGCCCCTCCTATGTGGCAACAAAAAAAACTGACAAAAAATAATATTCTTGAAGTTGCTCTAAGTGAAACTTCTCAACCACTAAACTAATATCCCAAGTAGTCATGATATATTCCTTATTAAATAAACTACAAGTTTCAATGCTTGTTTTATTCAACAATCCCACATCATCCATGAGCTCATTAAGCAAGAAAATGGCAAGCTTCAATACTTTTACTTTATCGGTTCAAGAAAACTTATAGATAACTTCAAGACTTTGTAGAGCTCACATGAAAATTAGTTAAAGCGGGCAACCCTATTCAAGTTAGTTAAACTGTTGGTTTAGTAAGGGTGTTGCTATTTGTACCACCATTTAGTAAAAAATAAATATAAATCACATTGAAATGGTAAAAATGATTAAAAAAAAATTCAACAATCTTATAGGTGGTGTAAATAGTCATAGGGGTGTTCATATTGCTATTTACACCATCTGGTTATATACGATTTATGAGATTCTATTAATAATTTTTTAATTAATTAAAACATTTAAAAAAAACTCGCCTTCTCATGGGGGTGGGAGGGGGGGGGTATTGTTTTTCTTTTTAATGTTTTGATATTTAAATAAAAATAAATAATAAATTTTTTTTTTTAAAATATAATGTTTGACTATATTTAATGAAGGTGGTGCAAATATTTTCCATTTACACTACCTATAAAGCTATCACACCTATCAAATGGTGGTGTAAATAGCAATTAGGGTGGTGCAAAATTACAAATTAAACCTCAGTAGAAATAGCCTATTGAACTTCTTAGAACTTCTCAGTAAATTTATCTCGTGTATACCTCAATAGTGATCTTAGAATTTCGTTCTTTACCCCAAAAAAAACACCAAATGCAATTAAAACTCATTAGGATAACAAATATTTTCTCAAAAAAAATCTGTCACGGATAATTATTTCTTCTTGATTGACAATCGTTGTCATTACCACATATGGCTACAATATAAAGGGAAAATAATACTTAATGAATTTTCATTTTATATTCTCAACTTTTACTCTATCTCATAATTTTTTTATATAAACTGTAGTGAATCCACATAACAAAAATAATTAATCCTTATTTACCACATCCAATAAAATTAAAAAAAAAAAAAAGAATTTAGATAGAAGTATGCATATTAGAACTCTATAAAGCTAGCAACTTTGCTCTGTAGAAATGTCACAAACCATTACTCCTTAGCTTCTAACTGTTTTACAGATTTCGATCTTAGATGTTGACAATGGAACGAAAAGAAATTATCCGTCCGGTAATAGACAACCCTTTCCTCAACATCGTCGAATTACCCGGCGACACCGTCAAACGTGACCCCGAACCTCTCAACGCCCCCAACACCGACCTCCATGGCAGCTCGCCGGTACTCTCCAAGGATGTCAGCCTCGACCCAAACAAAGGCACCTGGCAACGATTATATATCCCGAAAGATGTTATGATCAATAGCTCTTCTTCTTCTTATTCTTCCCCGAAGAAACTACCTCTGATTGTGTACTATCACGGCGGAGGATATGTTTTTAACCACGCAAACTCGAGTTTGTACGATGTTTTTTGCCAGGGTTTGGTGGAGAAGGTGGGGGTTATGGTAATTTCACTCGAGTACCGTCTCGCCCCGGAGCACCGCTTGCCGGCGGCGTATGAAGACGCCGTGGACGGGCTGAGGTGGGTGAGCTCGACCCAAGACGAGTGGGTCCGCAACTTCGCGGATTTGGACAACTGTTATCTTTCCGGCACCAGCGCCGGCGGAAACCTTGCTTACTTTGCCGGGATAAGGGCGGCGGCGGCGGCGGAAGAGCTCAAGCCGCTTAATATCAAGGGGATGATCTTGCACCATCCATATTTTAGCGGGAAGACGAGGTCGGAATCCGAGGAGAGGCTCAAAAACGATTCCATTTTGCCGCTGTACGCGATTGATCAGATGTATGGTCTGTGTTTGCCGAAGGGTGCCGGCGGCGATCATGAGTTCCGGAACCCGGGCGTCGACGGCGGGTCGAAACATCTTGAGGATATAAAGAGGTTAGGTTGGCGGGTCCTCGTGACGGGTTGCTCCGATGACCCGTTGGTGGATGCCGGTAAGCAGTGTGCGAAGTTGCTGGAAGGGAAGGGGATTCCGACAACGGCGTCGTTTGGGGAAGGATATCATGGGATGGAGGTTTTCGACCACTCCATGTCGGGCCCACTTTATCATGTAATCAAGAATTTCATTTCTTGATTTTTGATTTTTGTTTGGGATTGGATATTTGAATATTGTAATAAGATGAATTTTGATAAGGACTGCTAAACCTCTAGCTACTTATCCATGATCAAATTCTTCCAAGTATTCCCTAAGGCAAATTATACCATGAATTATGAATCCAACTTGCAATGTAAAACTCATACATGTATTATTTTCAGTATATTGCATAATTATTTTAATTTTAGTAAGGCCATTATATATATTTTGATACAAATTATTCATTTTTAATATACTGTATGTTATTTTTAATATATTACAAGTCAAAATGAACTTATATCACTTCCTCACGTCAATCGTTATGTTATGGAACCGTGTTCACCATCTGTGGTGAACACGATCCCAACGGTGTTAGTGCACCGTTATTTTTTTTTTCTTAATTAACCGCGTGACTTTTCTTCTTCATTTTCACATTTCGCGGTTTCACTTTAATTTGAGGTGAGTAATGATTTCGAACATTCATAAATTATGAATCCATGTCTGCACATTCACTTTGGACCCGTGCCTACACATTCCCGTCCGAAACCATGACTGCTGCCTGCACATTCACTTTGGACCCGTGCCTACACATTCTCGTCCGAAACCATGACTGCTCCTCTGTAGCGCAAGCTTCTTCAACATTCATAAATTATGAATTTTCTGTTATGAAATTATGAATTTTCTGTTATGAGATTATGAATTTTCTGTTTTGAGATTATGAATTTTCTGTTATGAGATCATGAATTTTCTGTTATGAGATTATGAATTTACAGTAAATTCATAATCTCATAACAGAAAATTCATAATTTAATAAATGTTTTTCTTTTATGCGATTATGAATTTTCTGTTATGAGATTATGAATTTACAGTACATTCATAATCTCATAACAGAAAATTCATAATCTGACCAAACGCGCGCCATTAACACCACATCCGCGAATTTTTTTTTTTTTTTTACGTAAAAACGGCGCCGTTTGGACCCGTGTTCACCATGAATGGTGAACAAGTTTCCAGGGCATAATTTGCGTCCCCACGTATGTACCAAAAAAAACAAAAAAAAAAAACACCCGGGGTTTATCTATTAGTCTTATTAGTTTGATCTGATCAATTATGAATAATTTATGCTAATTTATCTCTTTGTAATCCTTTGTCAATTAAGATCATAAGGTCAATTTCATTCAAATTACACATCCAAATAATGATTATATGACAATATGAAATTCCTCGTAAATCAAAGGTTAATTATCAGGTGGATCCGGGTCGACCCGATGGCAAAAATACATAAATTACATACTAAATATTCACAATTTTATATATTAAATGTTCACAATTTACATACACAATTTATATACCAAATGTTCACAATTCAAATTATAGACATTCAATATGTAAATTGTGTATTTTGGACTCATGTCCACCTTGCAAGGTGGACTAGATCCCTGGACTGGGTCCATGGTATAATTGTTGCTAACCGGCAAATTAATTATTGTGTGGACCATAATGTAATAGAGTCAGTAGCATTCAAAAAAAAATTTATTGTGTGGACCATGAATATCAAATACATTTTTAATATATTAAAAGTACATTATTTGTGTATTAAATGTACATTATTTAATAAGTATATATAAAATAATGTACGTTTAGTACTCAAATAATATACTTTCAAAAAATATAATTTACGTTCAAATATAATATACTTTAGTATATTAAAAATGTATTATTTATTTATGATCCACGTAACTGTGTATACCATGGTCCATGTACTCATGATTGGTGACCAACCATGAAAATACATGAAGCCCATAATCTATATATTAGTGCCCATGAGCCCATCTATGTCCCAAACGCAAATTATACTGTGCAACCGAATGCACCTTGCAAGGTGCATACGATTGCAAAACGGCGCCGTTTTGGTTAAAAAAACGCGCGTCTCACTTAAAGAAGAAATCAGGTTCGATTCTCGGCAATAGCATTTTTATATATCCAGAAATTCATAACTATATAACCACAATTTCATAACTATATATCCACAGTGAATGAATGAAGTAAAAATTCACAATAAATGAATGAATGAAGTAAAAATCCACAATGAATGAATGAATGAAGTAAAAATCCACAATGAATGAACTAAATATCCACAATATATGATTGAACTAAATATCCATAATGAATGAACTAAATATCCATAAATTCATAACTATATAACCACAATTTCATAACTATATATCCACAATTTCATAACTATATATCCACAGTGAATGAATGAAGTAAAAATCCACAATGAATGAATGAATGAAGTAAAAATCCACAATGAATGAACTAAATATCTACAATATATGATTGAACTAAATATCCACAACGAATGAACTAAATATCCATAAATTCATAACTATATAACCACAATTTCATAACTATATATCCACAATTTCATAACTATATATCCACAATAATGCTATTGCTGAGAGTCGAACCTGATTTTTTTTAAAAAAAAGTGGGACGCGCGTTTTTAATCAAAACGACGTCGTTTTGAACCGTATGCACCATGCGCATGGTACATTCGGTTGCACAGCATAACTATTGTGTCCCAAATATATTGACAGTTCTATTTGTCCACAAATCAACACGGATGCGCAAATTATGCTGCAATCGTTATGCTGTGCAACCGTATGCACCACGGTTGCAAAACGACATCGTTTCATTAAAAGAAAATTTCGTTCGAATTGTAGTTAACGGCGTTAGACGATTTTCTTTCATATTCAAACAGTAGGATATATTCATAAATTCATAACTATATATCCACAAATTCATAACTTTATATTCATATCGAATTACATAACTATATATTCATAATTTGACAACAGTACATTCATAAATAATAACTACACATTCATAATTTCGTATTCATATATTCATAATTTCACAACTAGACATTTATAATTACATAACTCCATATTCAGAATTTTTAAAGTGCTTGTTCACAGAGAACTATATCCATAATTTCAAAACTATATATCTATAACTTCATAACTATATATCTATATATCCACAACTTCATAACTATATATCCACAACTTCATAACTATATATTCATAATTGCATAACTATATATTCATAATTACACGTCGATGGGAGTTTTTGTAAATAAAAAAAAAAATTGATTGGTGGAGTTAAACGGTGCCACTAATGGTGTCGTTTTGCAACCGTGTGCACCATGCATGGTGCACACGGTTGCACAACATAATTTGCGATTATGCTGTGAGCACCTGCCCACCTTGCAAGGTGGCAATCATTATTGTGTGGACCATGGTCCACACAAGTTGTATGGACCATATTTTGTATACTGTAAAATAATGTACATTCAATACAATAATAATGTACATTTAGTACAAAAATAATGTATATTGTATTCAGGGAATGTACATTATTTTTGTACTGAGTGTACATTATATTGTATAATGTACATATAGTAATGTACATTTAATATATTAAAAATATACTTTTTATTATGGTCCACATAACATTGTGTAGACCATGGTCCACACAATAATGGCACGGTTCCATATAAATAATTTCTATACTGTAGATTCATAATTTCTATACTATAGATCTATAATTTATATATTATAGATTCATAAAATTTATACTTTAGATTCCAATTGATGAACTCTGTTTTTACAAATAAGAGAACTATATGTTCATAATTGATAACTATACAGTTTAGAAATTATGAATTTATAGTACAAAAATTATGAATCTACAGTACAGATATTATGAATCTACAGTATAGAAATTATGAATCTACTGTATTTAAATTATGAATCTACAGTTTAGAAATTATGAATCTAAAGTATAAATTTTATGAATCTACAGTATAGAAATTATGGATCTACAGCATAGAAATTATGAATTTACAGTATAGAAATTATGGATATAGAACTGTGCCCACATTGCAAGGTGGTCACGTGCTCATACCATAACGATCCATGGAGATGGATTACTCTAATGGCCCGTTTGATTCACGGAATAGGCCGGGAATGGCATAGCATTCCCAGTAATAGGCCTATTCCTTTGTTTGGTAACCATTTCTATTACCAGGAATAATATTCCTGGTAATAGCCTATTACCTCAAATAAGGTAATAGTTATTACTAGGGCCCCCCTCTGGTATTAGCCTATTACTGAACGCTCAGGAATAGATTTTAGAATTTATTTTCTTTTTTACCCCTTTCTTTAACCTAATTTTTTTTATCCTATATATAAATTTATCCTATTTCACCACCGTCGTCGCCACCACCACCATTACTGCCCCCGCCACCAGCACCACCATCGCCACAAGCGTCGCCGCCCCTACCACTGTCACCGCCACCATCACCACTACCACCCTAGCACCACTACCACCATCACCACCACTGCCACCACCATCGCCGCCGCCACCACCACCACCGCCACCGCCACCGCCACCAGAACCACCACCCAGCAGCAGCAGCAGCAGCACCACCACCACCACAACCGTCGTCGCCCCCACCACCACTGCCACAACCGTCACCGTCACCATCACCACCGCCACCACCACCACTACCACCCCACCACCACCACCACCATCACCACCATCACATATTTTTATAAAGGTATTTATGTCTTTTAAAACATATTTCATTTCTATTCCTTAAATCAACCAAACACTGTAATATAATTCCTAAAGTCTATTCCTTCCGCGAACCAAACAATAGAATACAATTCCTATTCTATTCCTTGCCTATTCCATTCCTTATGGAATAACATTTTTATTACCTCAAAATTTATTCCGTGAACCAAACTTGCTGTAAAGGATAATACCAGGTAAGGAAAATAGGCTACAACCTCAGCTCGGTGATAATTTCATATTCTTTGTAGTGATTGTACACAACTTGAAAGAGTTGCATATAGATCTGGATGACCTATATGTATACAAGGTTATCTAACAACTTTACGATCTGGTCCTCGAGTTTAATATCTCTATAAATTTTATAATTTAATTTTTAAAATAATTTGTGTGTCAATCTAACAAAGTCGAATATATTTTTTACTTTAAAAATTAAATATAATTGTTACAA